GAAGGCGGCCAAGGTGGGGCAGAAAAGGTTGGACGTCCTATCCACCGAGGGGTTTGCCGAAGGCGACCTCGTCGAGATTAGCGGCGGTGGAAGATCCGAGACCGGAACCATCGCCAGCTTCGGATCGATCGTCCTTGCCCGCCCTCTGTCCAGCCACTACCCCGCCGGCTCGGCGATCACAAGGCAGGCGCCAGCAGTTGTGATCATGATGGCCAGCTGCGGGTCCAGCCAGGAGAACCAGGGCACGGCCCACGTCGAGGGCCCGGGCCAGCCCACGGCGCCGGGGGACTCTCCCTCCGGCAGCCCCAGCAGCGTGTGCACCGGCGCTCTGCTGAGCGCGCTGAGCTCGGGGCGCGAGCAGACCTGGGCCTCGCTCCTAGGCGGGGTGCAGGAGGCCATGGCAGCTCAGGCCCGCGGCCAGTTCCCGGTGCTGAGCTCCACGCGCCGCCTGGACCTGCTGTCACCCTTCGGCGTGCTGAACCCCGGCGCTCCAGATGACAACGGGCGCCGCAGGGCGCTGCTGATCGGCCTCAACTACACAGGATCGGAGCTCGAGATGAAGGGCTGCCACGACGATGTCCGCCTCGTCCAGGAGTACCTCAAGGGGCAGGGCTACGACGACGGCCTGCAGGATCGGGGGAAGAGAACTATGCACATGCGCCGATCCTGACAACGCCCATCCTGGACCCAGGATCGGTGTATGTGCGTAGTTCTCTTTCCTCTACAGGAGGGAGGAGACGTGCGCATCATGCTCGACGACACTGCTTCGGAGGATCCCACGCGGGCCAACATGCTCCACGGATTCCAGTGGCTTGTGGAGGGCGCTCAGCCGGGCGACTCGCTCTTCCTCTGCTTCCGTGGCCAGGGGAGGCAGGTTCAGGAGGGAAAAAAACACAGACACAATTACTCGTCGATTCACTAGAAAATATGGGAAAATATGGGCAGTGGGGGGGAAGACAGAAACCCAAAACATATGGGAAAATGTCGGGAATCCTTTTCTTTGTGTGTATTCATTTGTGTGTCCCAGGGCCCCTTCACAGGTGCAGGACGCCAGCGGCGACGAAGAGGACGGTCTCGACGAGGCCCTCGTGCCTTCGGACTTCGCGGCTGCGGGGCTGCTGTTGGATGACGATGTGTTCCGCCAGATCGTGAAGCCGCTTCCGGCTGGCGTGCAGTTGATCTGCATCATGGACTGCAGCCACAGTGGAAGCATCCTGGACTTGCCTTTCGAGCTCGTGATGGACGAACAGGGGGCGCAGAGCATACGACAAGGATCGTGGTTTGCAATTTCATGCCGCGTGACGGCTGCAATGGCCGCCACAAGCCCAGCCGAGCACGGCCCCCCCGTTCGCAACCACCCCCACGGTATGAGAGCGTGGGCACGGCAAGGTCTAGGTGGGGATTGCCGACTGCGTCTGCGATCGCCGCGGCCTTCTCGTTTACGTACTGCTACCTGGAGTGTTGGCGTCAGGGGCGTACACTGTGCACGTCAAACCAGAAGTCGCAGGCCTACAGGTTGACACCAACACCAATATCGGCGGTGTGCCTCCACCGAGGGAAGAAGATTTCGATCTCGGTGATGGTGGTAATATTCTGGCTTCCGGGGTGACCGAAACATTACCACCAACACCGAAATCTAGGATCATTCTCCCCCTGTGGAGGCAACCCGCTGTTTTGGTGTTGGTGCCCATTTCCAGGCCTCCGAAGAAACGAGTTCGCCGGTCGGTGCACCACGGAAGTTTGGAAGGCCCCGGGGACCCACGGATGTCGTGTGAAACCTTCGGAAGGTCGAGGGTAGAAGATGTGTCAGCGTGAGCTCACCGTGCGCGTCGGATCTTGTGAGTGCCTGCGCGCTTGGCCTGTGCTTTCACGCGCCTGAGGCTCTGGTCTTTCATCCGCGTGCGTTTTCTTTTGTGCGCCCCCCCCTTTCCTACTTTCATGTCGGGCGTTGGATTTTCGACGAACAAAAAACATACCCCAAACATGCCCCAAAAGGGCAAAACAAATATCAAAAAATAGTCCCCAGACTATTTTTCAAATTTTTTTTTGATTATTTTGGTGGTATGTTTTATTCTTGGTTGAAAATATCCCTGCAGGGGGACAGGCCCGACTTAATCCTACCTGGGCCCTCGCTCTTCCCACTGTCCGACACCACACTCTGACCCTCCTACCAACCCCCTGCGCGCCTCGTCACACCTGCAGTGCAGAGCGTTAAGAACCAGTCTGAAGGGGGCCTGCACTATCTGCACGCGAAGGCCGGATCAGCAAGTGCAGAGGCCATGAACATTGTTTTGGAGGACTCCAATCGCGCCGATTTGGTCCACCGGGTCTTCGCCAGGTTTGACGAGGACGGCGACAACCGCCTCAAGGAGTCCGAGATGCACAAGTTCGCGCTGGCGGTACACTTTGATGGTTCCGAAGACGATTGGAATTTTCTGTTTGAGGATCCGCCACAAAAAATAGAGACATATACCATTCACTGGATTGCTCCTGGGCCTCATGGGGAGGACGGCGGTGCATAATTCACCACTGCAAGCTGGCGATTTTACACACCGCCACCCCTCCTTGAGGTCACAGGGAACGGGGCCCTTCTGCCACGGGGCCGGGGCATGTTCTCATGGCATAGAGGACCCCATGGCACGAGGACATACTTCGGAAGTTGGTGTATATGTTTTCATGGCATAGAGGACCTCTGCCACGACGCCGGGGCAAATCCTGCCGACGGCTTGACGGAGTCGCAGTTCGCGGACCTCGTCAACGCACGGGAGGGGAGCCATCACGGCCTCCCCCAGTCCTGCATCGCTCTGCACAGCGCCCTGGGGGAAGAGCTGCCAGAGGACGGACACGCCGACGAGAAGGCGGGGCTGTTCACCGAGCCGCCGTCCCAGGCATCCGCCGACACGAGTGTTCCAATCTGCGGCCCCAGAGGTCTCGACCGCTTGCCTGAGTGTGTCCTCCTGCCCAAAGCCCGTTTCGAGTGGTTCCGGGGCCCGATGGCCGACGCCCTCGGGGCCGATGGCGAGGAGGCGCGTGAGCCAGCGTGGACCTCAAACAGAAAGTCACAGCCTTGTGGAGGTGTAAGCTTTGTGGCGCAAGCTATGTGGTGCAAGCTTCGTGTTGCGGCGGCGCTGGCGAGAGTGTTGGTGAGGACGTGCGAGCGAGCAGAAATGAAAAACAATTCTTGCACACCTCTGGTTGACAGACGTGTGGTTGTTCGTATCCCATGTTTTCAATGGCCCAGTGTTTGAATGCTTCGGACAAGAACTGGTTTTGACATCCGCAGAAATGAAAACAAACAATTCTTGCAAACCTCTGGTTGACAGACGTGTGGTTTTTCGCATCCCATGGTTTTGAATGGCCCAGTGTTTGAATACTTCGAGCAAGAACTGGTCTTGGCATGATTCCGACGCGCGCGTGGCGGCGCGCGCGCGTGGCCCGCAGGGTATTATCCTGATATGGCTTCGTGCGTTGGGCGCAAGCTGGATGAACACAGGTGCACCGCGTGGTGAGATGAGAGCTCGGGTGATTTACCAGCCTCGAACGTATCCCTATCCCTAAGACTGACACGCCAAATGGCGACGACAATCTTAGGGATCCGCCCTCAAAACATAAGGGAATCCCCAAGATTGGCATCGTGACGAGGAGATGCCCAGCATAGGGATAGGGATATGTTCCAGGCTGGTAAGTTGTGGACGTTGCCGCTAACATGGCTCGATTGATAGCGTGGGTTCATCAAGTGTGGGTGGGCATTCCCATGTGCAGCATGTGTGATGAAACAGCACGTGGTTTCCATCGTTCGATGTTGGAATGATTGGGGCATTCGTGTGTTTGGTGTGGCTTCGTCATGTGCGCGCCCATGTGGGCTTCGCGGCGTCTTCTGCAATTCGTTTTAGAAATTGATGGCTTGATGTCGACGAGCGCGCGCACATGATCATTCGAGAGGGATGGAGGTCACGATGGCCAGCCTGGGTGGGACAGCGCAAGGTCAAACAGCAATGAAGGCTTAGGCTTGATCACATGTGCTTTGACTTGACCCAGGGGCGGTACGTCCGAGGGGGAGAGGGTGGTACAGACCGCTCCTCCTTCGATCGGAGAACATACGCAGTGCAAGCTAGAGGCAGCAACTAAGCGGCAACCGGCGGCAGCGTGGCGAAGCCTCGCCGGACCCACTCGGCGCACGAAGCGGCAACGGGCGGCACCGTGGCGAATCCTCGCCGGGTCCACCCAAGTCCTTCGTGGCCGAAGCAAGAGCAGTGAGTGCAAGCACTGTTTGGCGATTCGCCAGGTTGAAAACCACTGATTCTCGGACTTGGGCGTTGGGGGAGGCCAGCGGCGGGCGCCTCGCCGCTCTGGCCGCGCTGTTCTGGCCGCCGGCCTGGGCGGCGGCAGACGCCACGTCGGCCGCAGCCGAGCACGCCGCCCAGGCGCCGGAGCGGCCTGCAGAGGAAGGAGAGGCTCGGGGGTGGACAGACCTCCTACCCTGACACGTCGACGAAGGTATTGGCCGTTTTCGGTTCGCGAGAGGGCGTCGCGGCCGTCAGTTTTGCGGGTCCAGGTCCGTCGGTCTCGGTCCCAGGCCGTTTTCACTAATTAGGGGAGGTCTACTGAAGGGAGGCTTGTCCACCGCCGAGAGGCGGGCGCCGAGGCGGCCGCGGCCGAGGCGGCCGCGGCCGATGGCGGGGCCGCGGAGCCGCCGGGGCGGCCGCAGGGCGGGCGCCTGGCAGCGCTGGCCGCCAGGCTGTGGCCCTCGGCCCGCGAGGCGGTGGACGTCCGGCCAGCCGCGGCCGACGAGCCGTCCGCGCAGGAGGGCGGCTCGTGCTCCCCCTCATGCTTCCTCCTCGTGCTCCTCCTTCTCCTCCCCCTCGTCGCCCTCCTCCTCCTCCTCCTGCCCCTCCTCCTCCTCCTCCTCCTCCTCCCCCTCCTCCTCCTCCTCCTCCTCCTCCTCCTACGCAGGAGGGCGGCGAGGGGCCCGGCGCCGCCAGCCCGGCGGCCGGCGGCGGCGCGGAGGATTGGCGGCGCGCACAACGGGGTGGAGGGAGGGGGGAGGGCTTCTTAGAAGGAGACTGCTTCTTAGAAGGCGCGGGCCTTCTCTATGGATGTAGGGCCGGCGCCTGCTAAGAAGCAGCCCCCTTCTAAGGAGCCCTCCCCCCTCCCCGCACCCCCCTTGTGCGCGCCGCCAGGAGGGGCCCGGCGCCGCCGGCCCGGCGGCCGGCGGCGGCGGCGTGGAGGAGGCCGGGCAGGCGCGGGAGGGGCGCCCCGAGATGCGGGCGGTACTCGAGCGGTGGCGGAGCGTCCTGGCTCGCCTATAGCCTTAGGTCGGGCGTGTCCCCCCTACAGGGGGATGTTCGACGAAAAGTGCAAAATACCCTCCAAAATACACCAAAAAGGTCAAAGATACTCCCAAAATAGTCCCCAGACAGTTTTTAGGCTATTTTGGGTTGTTTTTTGGGTATGTTCTATATTTCTTTCGTCGAAAATCCTCCTGTAGGGGGACAGGCCCGACTTAATTATAGCCCTACCAAACAGTGCGCTAAGAACCTCCTGTGGCTCCCACGGAATGTTTTTGGAGCATTTCTGGCGGAACCTGTCTTGTTTTATCTCAGCGGGTTTCTGTTCTCAGAACCTTGTGTTTGTTCTTAGGACATTTCTGGGTTCTGAGAACCTTCTGTGCATGGTAGGACTGTAGGAATGCCGGGACGGTCGGTCCCTGCTCAAGTTTCACTCTTGTGCATGCTGGGCGTTTTCGCCCGGCTGGCGACCCAGGGGCCGTCCCAGATCGATGCTGCCTGGAAGTGCAGGAGAAGGCATCATCAGGATGAGCCGCTCTCCAAGGTTACCCTTGCATCCCTGCCCATTTTGCCCCTCCCTTGGCGACTTTCGCTGGCCAGCCTCCTTGGCCACTCTCGCTGGCCAACCTCGTTCGAAAAACGCCAACATGGCCCTCCAAGGCCCTTGCATCCTTCTCGTGCGTCCTTACTCCTGGGGTGGACTCGGCAGGGCTCTCGTCGCAATTTTTCTCGCGACGCCTCACTTCTTTGCAGCGTCGGATCTCGGGGCGGGCAGGAGCCAGGGGCCGCGTCCACGCCCCCGAGCACAGCGGGCTCCTCCGGCTCCGAGACCGAGCAGGCCGTGCTGCGCGGCCTGGCCGCGCGGCACGGCGAGCACGACGCGGACCCGGCCGAGCCCGGCCCCGCCGCGAGCGGCCCCCCCAGCGACGCGGGCGGCGCGCCCTCGGCGCCCGGCGGGGCGGCGGCCGCGGCGCCCGCCGCCCAGCCCGCGGGCGCCCCGGAGGCCGGCGCTGCCAGCCCGAGCGCCTCCCCGAGCGCCAGCAGCCGCTGCAGCCCGCGGGCGGAGCCGGCGCCGCAGGCGCCGCCCTCCCCGGCGCCGCGCCCGCTGCCGCCCGGGGTCCCGCCGCTGCAGCTGCCGCTGCAGGCGCCGCCCGAGCCGCCCCTCGAGCCGCCGCCCGGGGCGCCGCCTGCGGAGCCGGGCGGCTGGCCGTGCCCCGTCTGCACGTTCAGCGAGAGGGCCCCCAGGCTGACACGGGCGCACTTTTTTGGCCCCGGCGGTGCGGCCACGCGTGCAGCAGCGCGGCGAAGTCGGGCCGAGGTCGGAGGAAGCGTGCGTGCCGACGCAGGCACGCAGAGTCTGCGCGGGCACCTTCCACCGCCCCCCATGGCGCTCAAGGTTCGCGGGATCGTTCTCTTTGGAAGTCGTTGGGTGTTTCCGGGCCCGCAGGAGCCTCGGAAGGCATCTGGAGCTCGGCGCGGATGGTCTGTTGGGTCGGCGCCGGACCCACCGTCCCCACGCCCGTTTCCCCGGCGCGCTTCGTCAGGCGTGCGGGGAGGGGGCCCAGAGCCGACCCAAGGTGTTCCGCGCGGTCTTCCGAACGGTTCTGTTTGTGTCGTTTGGGGGGCCTCTGTCGTCAACCAGCCTTCCCACCTCGCCTGCGAGATATGCGGCTCTGAGCGGCCGACTGGTGAGTGAGGGCGGTCAGGGGAGGCAGCCGCCGACGACAGCTGGAGCAATTCTTCCACCTCCCTCCAGCCAACGCGCTCGCCTTCGAGGTTTTCAGCCATGCCTCATCCACCGCTCGGTGCGAGTCACATACCGCTCTAGATCGCGCAATGTTTTTGCGATGCACGCGGAAAGAGTGGCGTTGCAACGTTGCGCGTCTCACGCAGGTCTTGCGATGTTCCAATCCTCCTCTTATGCTGCTTCTGCTGGTTCAACTCATCCTGATGCAGCTGCTTCTTCTCCCCCTTGTCTGCCATCTTCTAATGACTGTCCCCTTGCGCATCATTATTGTGGTGATCATGTCTTTCCGTGTGATCCTGAGCCGCATGAAACGAAACGTCTCGATTCCCCGGCGCCTTACGTTGCCATGGGGCACCAGAATTGCTAATGACTGCTTCTGCAGCTTCCCTTCTCCTGTGCCCTCCCCCAGCTCCTCGGAATTTGTCCTCCTCGTACTGATGATGCAGACCATGCCGCCACATACGGCGGATGTTGTTGCTGCAGCTCGTCGTCCTTGGCCTCGTCGTCTCCGCCCTCGTCTCCGCCCTCGCTCTCGTCATGGTCCCCTTTCTCTCGGAGGTGGATCGACCTCCTAATTCTAGCAGAAGCCCGTCTAATTCTGCCCAGTCCCGCTTAATTCGGGGGTGGACAGACCTCCTACCCTGACACGTCGATTAAGGAATCGGCCGTTCTCGGTTCGCGGGAGGGCGTCGCGGCCGTCATTTTTGCGGGCCCAGGTCCGTCGGTTTCGGCCCCAGGCCGCTTTCACGAAAGGGAGGTTTGCGAAGGGGAGGTTTGTCCACCGCCGATATTCCTCGACCTTGTTCCTCATTCTCCTCCACCTCCTCTTCCCCCTGCAGAGCTACCTGTGTATGTATGTCCTCTGCGCCTGCTCGATCTCCTCCTCGTGGGTTTGTCCGTGCTCCCCGTCCCGCTCCTACCCATCTCAGCGGGGCAGATCTAAGAGAAGATCTGCCAGAGACGCCCCAATTCCAAGCTCTGCCGGCCTCCAGGGGAACATAGGAATCCAATTTCCAAGCTCCTGCAAAGATGAAGAGAAGAAACCATGCAGCGCGAATCAAGCAAGCACTGGTGCGGGCATCAGCCATCCGGCGCAACAGAAGATTGCTTGAACCGCCAGTGCTATGGATGGCTCCGAGACGCCGAGAATAGTCAGAAAGAGCTTCAAGCCGGGCTAAAAGACGCTTTATATATCTATGTATCTATTTATACAAAGTCAGGCGTAGTACCCACCAAAGCTGGGTGTCCTTTGCCACCAGCGCTCCAGGAGACTTGGGAATACGAAGCCGGAACTCAAACCTTGGATTGGAGAACGAACAACGACCGCGAAAACAGGGAACACAACATTCATCGATTGCATATAATCGAGCGAGGCTTCCACAAAACTTGCCAGTCCTCTGTCGTCCGTCGCACAGACATCTCTGCAGCGCCAAGATGAGCGGTAAAGCCGATGCAGCGCAAAACACCTCGCAGTGCAACAGAATGTGTGCTGTTAGGCATCATCGTCGTTGGCGCTTTGGTCTCGCCGCCTTGTTTCTCCTGAACCTACCGAGTCACACGCGAAGCCCAGAGTCCAAAGTTTTCTTTCAATCAATGATACGCAGAGCACGCGCACTTGCAGTACAACATATCATTGTGCGGTGCTAAGAAATTGGGTGCAACAGGGACAACGTGTTTCTGGTCATCATCGTCAATGGCGCTTTGGGCACCACAGCCCTCCTGAATCTCCCCAAAGATTTCCCGACTCGCACGCGAGGCCCAGAATCGCAAGCTGAAGCTCAAACAAGACGCCCGACTCTGAAGAAAGACCCTGAAGGCATGTGTTTTTGAGACTTGCCGCCCCGCCGTGCGAAAAACTGCTAAGAACTCAATCCTTATTCCCGTCTTCTCATGCTCATCCGCCCTTATTCCTACCTTTCCTGCCTCTCCTGTCCATCCTGGTCCTGCTCGCCCTCTACTTCCTCAGTCGTCCTCCCTACAAGTCTCCATCGTCCCCCCATTTTCTGACCTCTCTTCTTGGCATCCGTCCGGTTCACCTCTTCTCCGAGTCCTCTTCAGCCCTTCCTCCCTCTTCTCGCGGCGTCGTCGTCGTCGTCGTTGCCCTCCTCGTGCGACGTCGTCGTCGTTGTCGTCGTCGTCGTTGTCCACCACGTCTTGCTCGCATCCTTCTCCGCGTCCTCGTGCTCCCGGTGCTTGCTCCTCGTCGTCGCTAACCTCGGGAGCGGAAAAGAGGGGGGTGATGACTAGGGGGGGGTGGATATCATGGCGGGGGCCATGATATTTCCCCAGATCTCATGGCGCCTCTTCTTATTTCATTACGTCCCTGGCCCCCCCGCTGGGCCGCGCACATGCCGCTGGCCATGATTTGCACCCCCCCTCTTGGACACCCCCCTCTTGGCCGCTCCCAATAACCTCCTCCCACGCCCTCCTGCTCCTCGCCCACCTCCTCCCACGCCCGCCTGTTCGACGAGAGGCTGCGCTCTCTTCCCTCCGCCTCCCCAAAATTCGCTGTCCTGGGGGGGCGGTGCCCTAGGCTCTGCTTTTGGCATCTCCGCCCTCCCCTCTCCATCGGGCTCCTTTTACGCGGTCGTGCGTAAGACCTACCACGACATTTGGCCACCGCCGTTTCACCCGAGACCATTTGCTAGGGCTTGCGAGTGTTCGCCTCCAGCAGCTGGCACGGAGGGACCAACGGGTTCGGGCCGTGCTGGGGCTGCGAGGGCGACTCTCGCAAAAGTGGGGCGACGCCATATTTTCTCTTCGCTACCTGATCCTGCTTCAGAGGAGGAAAAGGTGCCAATACAGCTACCATCCCTCGTTTTCCCTTGTTTGGGCCCCGGGGATGCCCTCGTCGGCACGCTTGGACCCGCCTCGGAATTATGGTCGGGACGCTCCTTGGGAGAGGTCCGGGGAGTAGCAGTATCGGTGCCTTTTGGTTTCCCCACTCCTGTCTTTTCTATCTCTTCCTAGGTCGTCTTGTTCTCCCTTCCCTTGCAGGCCGGTGTCGCTCCTCCTCCACCCCTTTACCTCGGGGATAACCCTCTCTGCCTGACCAGTTACACGGTGTAGGGGCCGTCGGTTTAACCATCTGGCTCTTTCTTGAGCGCTGCGCACATTTGTCCTGTAGGGTTTCAACCTGTTACAGGGGGTGGAGGGGGAGCGCTTTCAATCTAAAGTTTTCGCCTGACCTGAGCATTACGCATATTCGTGCTATTCTTTGGCATCGCCTTTCGCGGATGGAGGGCGGTTTCTTTTTCAATGCGGGACCCGCCAAAGCGCCGAACACATGTGTTGTTTTAATTCTCCAAACAATTGCACGGACGGAAGGTGATCTTTGAGGATTTCTTATCACTTGTCATTTTCGCTTATGATTTCTTTCGTTCGTATGAGCTGAGATCGGGCGCCGTGTATCAGCTACACGTAGATAGGGGTGCTCATGATCCAATCAGGGTGCTCGCTTGAGAGGCTTTATGCTTAGACGCTTCAGATTGCAGAGCATCTGCTCGCATTGAGGGAGGCTCTTTGCTCAAAGCGGTGGTATCGCTCCACACTCTCCTGGTCCAATTCGAGGCTTCCGAGAGCGGATGCACCCGACATCTCGCAATACCGGGGGGTTCGGTGGCAAACATCACGGGAGCATGGTATGTCCTTTTAATTCCGTCTTTAGCGTCGACTACCGTCGATTAGCGTCTGGGAGTCGATGATATAGCGCCGATTTAGCATCGACTAGCATCGATTAGCGTCGATTTAGCGTCGGCTAGCGTCGATTGGCGTCGATTTAGCGTCGACTGGCGTCGATTCGCAAAAGCGGACAAGATGGTATGGGAGGTTCACATTAGTTACCACCGAAGAATCGCGGAAGGGGGTGGGCCAAAGCGCGTCGGGGACCTCCCCCAAAGAGCGGTGCATCAACGGGTCCAACGTCGAGACCCCCAAACCATCTTGTTTGACGAGACCCGCTAGACCCCGCTCAACAGCAGATCCCCCCCCCCCCCCACACATGATTATGAGATCAAGGGTAGCTGCCGTCTGGCGCCCCCCTTGCGAGGTAGAGGCCTCCGCCTCGGCGCGGCAGGCACCACCCCTGGCGCGGCGGGAGGGTTGAGCTCTTGGGCCCTGGGGCCACGGAACAAATCCATTGTGGAAGAAGACCAATGGATCGGAGGCATGCTGCCACATGAATTCCAGATGTTGTTGAAACATTTTAAACATGTTTCAGACATGTCAAGAACATGTTGTTTGGCTCGAGGGCAAATCGAGCGACCCTGGCCGTGGAGCGTCCCTGCCATGGCGGCCTTCAACAACACCGAGGTGAGCGTCAAGATTCTCGAGCCAGCCCCGGAGGGCGAGGAGGGCAAGTTCTATTGGGGCATGGTGTCCAAGGCGGGAGCCAGGGACCTCTTCAAGCTCCCGGTCACCAAGCGGACGACTATCAGCCAGCTCAAAGCGATGATCGAGAAGGAGAAAGGCCTCGACAAATCGGTCTTGCGCGTGATGTACTTCGGCAAGGAGCTTCCCGGAAGCCGCGACATGGAAAGCGTCGGCTTCAACCACACCGACGACCCGCTTCTGCACGTGGTCCCGCTGCCAGGGAATTGAACTGCTGCTGCTGCTGATGCGGCACTCTCGTGCCTTTTACGGTGCGAGGCCGAGGGTTTCCGACGGCTTCCAGAGAGACCCGACAGCGGAGACCGTTCAATAGCGAACGGCTCATGGGGTGACAGAGACTCGGGATCATGCCGTCCTGACGTGAACCTACCGGGATCGGGCAAGCGCACCGCGGCCAATTTTTCAAAATTGTAGGCCCCTCGTAGGCAGACTTCGCGCGCCTTTTGTCTCGCGCGACATGTATAGCGCGGCCCGAAGGGAGAAGTGCAGCGACATGTCGCTCCTTCCTCTCCCACCCCTGGCGCTCGCAGTTCCAGCCTCGTGCTCGCGGGCTCGCGGTCCTGCCAGGCAAGATGGAGGACGTTCCCAAGCGGCGGGTCTCCGAAAAATAAAAATGCATGTTAAAGAAACATGCTTTCAGTAAACACAACTTTAAAACAAAACAGAAAAAACATTAGGAGCACATGTTTCATTCAATAGCAGGACCGTCAGAGTGCCCGTCGTCGTGCCACCCACAGCAAGAAACAGGGCGGCGCGGGAAGCCCGCTCCGTGAGAGCCGGACCTTGCTGCAGCCAGGCGTCTCGGGCATGACGTTCGCCATGTTCGCTGTCCGCTGCGAGAGTTAAGTCGGGCGCGTCCCTCGACAGGAAGAAAACATTCAAGAATAGTAGAAGCATCGTCTGGTGACGTTTCGTTGTGCCGTGGCAGTTATTTCTGATTTGCTCGACTATTCTGTATTCGTCTTCCGAAATCTGCCTGTAGAAGACACGCCCGACCTCAAGCGAGAGGCAGGTCCGCTGCTGTCTGCTAGAGATTGGGGAGTTCCTTAACGCGGTGGCATTGGCGCCTCGAGTGGCTCCATGTCGGCGGCGAGCGAGGGGGGGAAGTGATAAGGAGAAGGTCTTGTCAGAAGGTGGCGGGACTTCTCAGAAGCCCTCGCGCTTTCTGAAACGATTTGTTGCATCTTCGGGGGAGACTCAGAACATTTTTCAGAAGGCCGGGGAACTTCCGAGCCTTCTGAGAAGGCCCGCCCCTTCTCATTTCCCCCCCCCCCCCCCCCGCGCTCGCCGCCAATCACGTGGGCTGCTTAGTTCAGGCATGTAGAAAAAACAATGATACCTATTGTGTGTCCCCCGTGGACCGTGTTGGGCCACAGGGCATGCAACGAGCAGTCCGCGGCGCGAGAGGTGTGCGATCTGTGGGGCATGTGAGCTCTGGAGCCCGGCGGTTTTTTCGAACGATGCCCGCCAGGGAGCTGCTGCGCATGTGTTCAGTGCCTGTGTCGTATGTCTATAAAATGCTGCCGTTGTTGAGATTAGCATCGATCTTTTGTGTTGTTTAACGGTTGGCTATATTTGCTTATGTGGCTCACGTTCGCTGTCTTGCTTCAGTAGTCAGACAAGGTCTGCACGTATGCTGTGGCGCTCGGTCCGCGCAGTCTGCACGCAAGGCCAGCACGTATCAATGGCGAAGTCGGTGCACCTTCTCGTTAGATGTATATGCACACGTACGTTTACTGGTTTGTCCACTATTGAGCCATTTTTCCCTGTGCGTTTCATCTAGCTTCTTCCAGGTGCGTGCGCGTCTCATGTGTGTGTGTGTGTGCTGCGTGTGTCGCTCAGCGACGCCGCCCTCCGGCGGGTCGTGGCCCGAGTGGCCACGGCCGAGGCGGCCTGGCTGGGTGTGGACGCCTAGGCGGCGGCTGGCGCAGCTGGCCGGCAAGCCGGGCCTGCTCAGGGCTGCCTGGCCGCGCTGCCGCGCCACGGTCGCGGCGGCCGCAGCTCGCGTGGAGCTGCCGGGCTGAGCGGGGCTGCGCCGGGCGCGCGCGCCCCCCGCGGGTTTTCCCCTTCCCCTCCCTTCCCCCCCTTCCCCCGCGCGCCGCTGTCGTGTCGTCTTTCGTCGTCGTTTCTCCCTCTCTTGTCACAGGGTTCCTCCCTCTTGCGTTGGTAAAAGTGTTGCGTGTGCTGGTTAGCTATCTGCTTCTCTGTCGCAGATTGCGTGCTGAGTGTGGTTCCTGTGGTTGCGACGTCGATGTGTGGCGTTTCGATGAATTGGGTACTTTGGATCTCGTGTTTGCCCAGGGTGCTCTGGCATTCTCGGTATACTGCATGCGATTTGGGTGTGTCCTGATTTCCGGTGTGTGTGTGTGTGTGTGCGCGCGAAGTACGTGTGCATATGTTCTGTGTGGTTGGAATTCACGTATGCCCCCACGCCTTGTGCGTAATTTGCGCACGTGTGGTTCTTAGTGTCTTCTGTGTACGATGTTCCTCTTAGTCTAGAGTGTCCGTGCAGGTGCTCCCTATGCATGTTATGTGGGATGCTTATGCACGTCCGCCCTTGCATTCTTTGCGCGTGCACATTGAATTCGCTGGTTCGTTGTTATGTTGCTAGTGTTCGTCATGTATACAAGTGATCTGCGCTTATTATTCGTTGTGCAGGACTTACCAGCGCCTCATACGTATGCATGCCGCTCTTGTGCCCCAGACAGTGTTTGGATAGGGGAATGTGGGATTTGTTTTTAGGAAGTGGGCCAGAGTGTTGGTCTGGCAGCTCCGTGCTCGCCGTTGCAGCCCCGTCGCGGCCCTGTCGCCGACTGTCGTCTCGGCCTGAATGTCGGTCTGGCGGCTCCGTGCTCGCCGTCGCCGGCCCCTCGCCGCCTCGTCGTCTCGTCGCCGCTCGTCGTCTGTGCCTGGATGTTGGCCTGGCGGCTCCACGGCTGCCGTCGCCGCCCCGTCGCTGCCTAGACTGCATTACACATGTTCTCCTTTCAAACGAAGAACCAGGATGTTAGCCAGCGTGGGCCCCACACAGCAGGTTCTTTCATCATATGTGTGCATTATGTGTAATGTTTGCTGCGTGGTGCAATCTCTGTCGTGCAATTAATTGTTGTTCGCAGTGAGTTGTCAATTCCATTGCTCGCGCAATCATCCGAGCCACCCACCCGCAACTTGATTGATAAAACGCATGCGGGCGCGAATGCGATGAGTGGTTGGTGTTGGCTGTTCCATCTCTGCGGCCGCGCCAACCCAAGCACGCGCGCGCAGCTGCCAGCTAGCTTGGCGCGACCGACGCGGCCGCCTTGGCGCTGACCGCTGGGCACATCCCAGCGGGCCTTTCAGTGCGACATGCGCGCGCGGCCGGCGCGCGACAGTGGCCCACATGGTACAAGTTGACACAGATCGTGCCCCCCAGCACGCGCGCAATGGCGCGCGAATGATATTGGCACGCGGCGGCAGAGGCCTGTTTGGCAGAACTCCATGAACATGTTGAGACACCCGTGATTGTTTTTGTGGGTCAAACAAAAAACGCAAGAACGCGTGCGCACGTTTTTTGAAACACGGCCGTTGCGAAATAAT